CAGATCATGTTATTCTTCTGTAAGTTTAAGTTTGATAGGTATTCTAAGTTCTGATAACTGATAATTCTATACAAACCTTCTAAAATTACCACAATCAGAAATACTTCTTTTTGTTCAGCAAAAATATATCTTCTTTTTTTCATTTTCTGTTGTTAGCTTGATTTTTTGGGGTCATTCATATCCTCATTATTATTTCACCTACCTAAGTCCCATACTAGTAAGAGTCCCGTACAAGTAAGAGACGTTTCTGTACAACTTACGTGCTGCTCCACCATTGTTCCTGCAGAAATACTGGAGCTCTGGAGGTAGTAGGACTTTCCCCAAGGTGATGTTACACTCCAGTTATAAACTTCAGTTCCTTACTCTTCCAAACTCAAGGCTAGCTCCCTTTACAGTTAAATTTTATTAGAGGGAATTTTAAGGAAAAAAAAACACCCAAGGAAACTTAATTTCTAAAGGAATTAGCCTTCTGACACCTCTAGATTTTAGGATATTTTTTTCTTTGTTTTAAAGTCCATCTCTATATAACTTGCAGTGAGCTGCATCTACACTACCATATTCTCTTTTTAAAATTGAAGCATAATAAATAAAGCATTGAAACTACACTAAATGGAAGACTGCAGGCTGGTGGCCCACAAACAAGTGTAAGCAGAAGAGATGGCACATCTGCATTCCTGATTCTTTCCGTAAACCGCACTATTGTTTTAGCTACTGTTTTGGCACAGTTTCTTCTGGCTGAGCCAGAGCTTAGACCATGGCTAATTTGTGGTCGTAACATAATGAGAACAGCATGTGAGCAGATTTTACTCTTTTGCAGCACAGTTGTGGCAGCTGAACATTTACCTTCAGCTAAACCCAGGTGCAGGACTAGGAACTCTTCTACCAAACTTTCTTAGTAGTCACAGTGGAAGCCACAGGATTACCAGGTTTTTACATGTTTTCTACTCTTGAATCTGTGTATTCAGCCAAGCCATTACCTTGAATGAAGCAAATGGTTTTATTCATGACTATTTGACCGGAACTTATTGGATCAGGTAGGAAAAGAGCAAGTGTGTGTCCATGTTTCATTTTGCGTTTCTAGTCGATTTAAAATCTCAGTTTGACAGCCTTTACTTTCAGCAGCCTGCTGCCTTTATGCCTAAATGCATTCAGCTGAGCTATTGTCTTCATTTATCACGTTCTGGTACAGTTTGCTCAGGAGATGGAGCTCACACGAGGTCCTGTACAACCTCAGTAATTGGCTTGTGTGGGAAACAAGGAACTTAGGAGATCTACCCCAAGAGTGCCAAGCCTTATACAAGTCAATATGACAAAGTTTCCTCCAGTCAGTCACAAAAGCCTATGGTTTTGAAGGCTGGAAAGTTGACGTGGAAACTGGAAACAATCAATCAGAAGATAATTTTTCTTACAAATGGAACTGGTCATATTATATATACACACACACACATATATATATATAAACTGGTAAACCAAGAGTAAATGAATCCCAAACAAAACTGCTGCCTGCCCAAAAATTCTTGTGCCTGTTGAAGGAACACCTGGGAGACAAAGAATTAAGAGTCCTGTCATGGGGAACTGGAAAAGAAAGTGGGACCTTAGGGATACGTTCCTCTGAAGTTAGGGAGTAAGAGACCTGGTCTTAATCTGTATTCTGTGTGCATCGCTAACCCTCTCCACTGCAACTGATGCCACTTCTGGCTGTGCTATGATCCATTTTCGTAGAAGAGTTTGTACATCTTACAGTCCTTAATTTAGCTTGTATATAAGGCTGGTGAATTTAACAGAATTCATTACTAAGACATTATTAGAGCCTATATCTAAGATCCTGCTGGGCCTCTCAAAATAAAAGTGAAGTTTGATTCCATTCAGTTCATTCCATCATGTTAAGAAGTGACGGTGTGACTTTATTTACCCCTGGAGATGAGGACATGGGCTGCATGGGCTTTAAATATTGTATGTTCTAGCTATAAATATGGTGCAGGCATCAACAGAAACTCTTAATTTAGGAGGGTTTTCCAGTATATCATTTTCTCAAATTCTTAACCTGTTTCAGTAAAAATAGCTATATTTGTTCTTGATACATGTAGCTGAGGATAGAAACGGGAAAAGCCATAACATATACTTCCTTGCACACTATGTGTTTATAGAAGAAGGGAGAGACTCATGTCATGTTGATTATAGGTATTATGCAATTGAGGCAATTTTACTTGTGTCTTTGAAGTAAAGGCACAAGATTTCATTTTTTTTCTTTGTTTTGTTTTTAAACAATTACTTGATTTGCAGTTAAATAGAAAGTTCAAGTTTGAAAGCTGGAACATTCATACACTTAAAAAGTTATAAATGTAATACTGTTCATGAATCTTTTATTCTGTTTTACTTTAGATCTATGTTACCACAGTTTGCCATTTCATGATCATGTGCTGGTTTTAACAAGTATTTTTACCACATGAAAATTGTTTGATGAATGATGTAAAAATGTGTAAAAGCTCAAGACAAGGTTAATCAAAAGCATTTGGGGACTTAGGCTAAGGCTGTCAAATACTGAATACCATACCAAACAAATACAGGCACAATGGTCAAAATGTTTTATTTCAATATTTTCTGAAAAATAATAATGTGATTTTTTCGATTTACTGCAACACTTCATTTCAAAATTTGTTTCAATTTTAAAAAGAAATTTATTTAAAATTCAGTGAAATGGAACATGCTGGTTAAGAAAAAGAAAAAAAACTTTCTGTTTAAATCTTTCCAATCAAACATCAGTTATTTAGGTTGGCAAGAAGAATTCCAGGTGCTTTGGGAAGCAGGACGGTTTAAGCCACCCAACTTACGAAATCTTATATTTACATACGTATGTTCAGGCCTTGTTCAAAGTCCAAAGTGTGAAATGAGGCAATGATGGGGAATGAGCAAACCAGAATTTTTTCATGTATATTCATGTATTAGTTACTGCCTGATGTGGGTGCTCAGCAGTGTATAATATAAAGCACACAGTTTGAACCATTAAGCCCGAGAAACACAAATTGCTCTGGCATTGAGTGGCTGTGTCTGTCTAAGCCGTAAATAAAGGAGTCAACTTGCAGGAAAGCTACAAAATCCTCACGTGTAGAAGCAACTGTCTGGTGCATGTGGATGTCTGTACCTTAACACTTTTTCCAACTTGGAGTGTAAATATTTTGTACCAAATATTATCATAGAACCATAGAATATTTTAGGTTGGAAGGGACCTTTAGAGGCCATCTAGCCCAACCCCCCTGCCATGAGCAGGGACATCTTCAACTGGATCAGGATGCTCAGAGCCCCGTCCAACCTGACCTTGAATGTTTCCAGGGATGGGGCATCTACCGCCACTGTGGGCAACCTGTGCCAGTGTTTCACCACCCTCATTGTAAAAACACCCCTTCCTTATATCTAGTCTGAAATTCTGATATTCACAGTTGTGATACTGAAAAAATATCTGCAAAGAAGTTGGCATGCAGAGTCCAGTAGCATCATGTCGTTGCCCGGCCAGGGGTCATTTCACCAATCATAAACACCTGACTAATACCTGCATTTGAGGTGCCTTATGGAGGAATTTTCTTAAATAAATGATCGTATTTCCCAGATAGTCAGTGAAGAGAGGTAGACACTTCCACATGCATGTGATCTCCCTCTGGAAAGCTCACCAGGCCAAATAGGAAACATTGGCATTAGACCCTTAAAAATCAGGAAAAGTTAAGTACTTTGAAAGCAGTGAGTCATACCCAAAACTTTTTTTTTTTATTTTTCTCACGCATGTTGATGAGGCTGACTAATTGTAGCAGTCATTTCCATGGCCCTGCATCATTTCAGTTTTGACACAGAACAGAAATTGTGAATATGGAAGTAGGATGTGGCAGAGCAGGCCTATGCTCAGAGCTGTCCTTATCTCTCCCAGAGCAAGGTTATACCTGCACAATGTCACATGCACAAACCTGAACTCAGTTCAAGGTAGCTACTGTAATGAGTAGACACATTGCAAAACCACTCAGCCAGGTCAATACTAAGCTGTGGTCAGTCTGATACCGAGCTCTGCTGGACCACACTTTCTTTACAGCAAGTGAAGGGCTAATGCAGGTGTGTCTGTACTGAACTCATCAAACACAGCGTGAGCAGCCGGTCAGAGGAGGTGATGATCCCCCTGTATTCAGCGCTGCCGCGGCCACACCGTGAGCACTTGTGCAGGTCTGGGCCCCACAAGTTAAGAAGGATGTGAAGGCCCTTGAATGCCTCCAGAGGAGGGCAGCACAGCTGGTGACAGGGTGGGAAGGCAGGTCCTGTGAGGAGCGGCTGAGGACTTTGGGCTTGTCCAGTTTGGAGAGAAGGAGGCTGAGGGGCGACCTCATTGCTCTCTACAGCTCCCTGAGGAGAGGACATGGGGAGGGAGGTGCTGAGCTCTGCTCCATGGGATCCAGGGACAGGACACGTGGGAATGGTTCAAAGCTGCACCAGGGGAGGTTTAGGCTGGACATGAGGAAGCATTTCTTTACCAAGAGGGTGGCCAAACCCTGGAACACGCTTCCTGGAGGTGGTCGATGCCCCAAACCTGTCAGTGTTTAAGGGGCATTTGGACAGCGCCCTTAACAACCTGCTTTAACTTTTGGTCAGCCCTGGAGTGGTCAGGCAGTTGGACTCGATGATCATTGTAGGTCCCTTTCAACTGAAATAGTTTATTCTGTTCCATTCAGCTACAGCTATAGGGTTGGCAGATCTCCACGCTGTGTGTCAGGCAGTGATACTAACACTTATACACTGCACAAAAGAGAGCTTGACCCATCTTTCAAATTTGGCTTCCTACAGGTATAGTCATCTGCATATATGCACATAAGAGGAATTTAAATCCTGCCTCATCATACATAAAGAATTGGAAGAAAAGCTAATTATTCATTTAAAATGCTGAGTTTCATTTTAACAGCATGTTAGTCTGGCTTATGGATTTGTTTAATGTGTCTCCTTCTGTTCCCTGCCATTTTTCCTGACAGACCTTTTGCGGTGGCCACAAATCAGCAAGTGCAGATCACCTGAACTGGAGACATTTTCATGTTATTGGACTGATGGAAATTTTTATAACCTCACTGCTCCAGGAACAATACAACTATTGTACATGAAAAGGTAACAATATGGAAAGAAAAAAAGAAAGAGGAAAAGAGAGAGAAGTCATGTATTTTGCTATGCCTGTTAGCTCATTGCTGATGGTTTTTTGCTATGATATGAGCCATACTGGTTTTAAGGGCATAAAACTGTGATTTACGTGCATATTTTTCAATGTCAAAATTTGTTGTTATCTATTAAGCAATGTGCAGCCACAAGCGTTACTTAGCAGATAATTAAGAACACATTAAATTTAGGTCCAGGTTGCAGAATCCCAAACTGAACACTGTATGGCTTGGGAAAGGAGTTTTTAATAGGGAACTTCAGTTTATTCCTTATCAACCTAACTTGGAACTGTGAGATTTATTGTATCTGTACACAGATGTGGAGTTGGGACACAAGCCCCTTTCAAATTTTCATTAGTTTTATAAGGCTCCCATTGATCAGTTACTGGATTAAAGTCTGAATGTGCAGGTCCAGGTGAAAAGGCTGCTCTGGGGATTACGTTTCATTGAGCCCTGTTCAGTTCTGGTTCACATTCCACTTAAGCTTTTGTAATTTTCAGGTTATTACAATGATTAGCCTGAAAGAGGGCACAGACATTAATAGTAATGGCTATTAAGGAAAACGAGCCTTTTGTTCACAGGCATAGGAGGGTGTGAGTTTCTGTTCCATCTAACGTACTGGGTTTCAACCTTTTTGAGCCACAGACACTCTCTGCTGGTGGTCATAGATTTGCTTACCAACCTTAAGCCTAATGGCATGGCTGGCTTTCTTCCTTACTCTTTTGAGACGTCTCAGAAATATAGGGATCCAAGTTAAAACCACTATTTAAGTGTAAACGTTTAGCTGACAGTTGTCAGTAGCATGTACCATGAGGGTACAAACTTCAGAAATGAATTAAACTCTATGAAAAAGCAGTATACATACATTGAGCAGATCATGTTTCAGCTTTGCCCTAGAAATTACAATACTGCAATAAAAGATGTGAATTGAACATCCACATTAAAAATATTTCTGTTTCAAAGTGCAAGCAATGTTTAAGGCTCAGGACTGAAGTCTATCATCTAACCCAGTCCCCTGTTTAAGACAAGCCACGGTATCTAACCGCCTGCGCCTTTGTCAGGTCCTGACTCTGGCAGAGCTGCAGCATTTCCTTTAGAGGAGTGTCTGGTCTCATCAGCTAAGCGCAAGACCGGTGCTTAGTGGCAGAAATGTTTCTTACTCACTTTATGTAGCATCTGCCTTCTTACTTTTTAAACACCCACTCCAGTACTGAAGGCTGCACTTGGCATAATTGATTTAACTTAATCCTGCTTCTGTACAGCTTCAATGGCTTTTAGTAAGGAGAGGCATTTATGGTATATTTTTAACAAAACAAGACTGCAGTTTTTGAAAAGATCCCTGTTTGGTCTATATTTGAGCTGAGAGATAGTATCTAGACAAAAAGTAACAACAGCAGATCTGCTCGCTGTGAGATTTGTTTTTCTAAAGTGACTGCAGAAATACTGAATAAACGTCTGTCACTCTTCCTGTAGGCTATTTCTTACAATTTGGTGATTCCCATTTTGCTTTAACTGAAGATTTTTTTGGTTTTGAACCTGCTGAGCAGTTTCAGGTTGGCCATATGAAAATGACCCTACACAAGCAGCAGTGTCTCTCAGTCTGAGAGGTCATGCCACTCTTTATAACTGCTGGTTTGCCTTTTTTAAGAGATGAAATGAGTGTGGTATTTCCTGCTGCAATTCTTTTATTTACAAAGAACATTTATGAATTTTTGAACAAAGTCAAGATGGAAAAACCTACGAGATTTGTTGCTAGTAATTCCAAGCCTGTGTTTTAGAAGTTCTGTATCCCAAGGAACTTAGCCCTTCCTCACTCACAGCCCCATATTTCTCTTCCCTTCATTCACATCCCGCAGTCCTGGGTTGGTTTGTGCCTGGTCTCCTGCAGTGTCCACCCCTGGGCACTTCCCTGTGTGAGCGATCAATGCTCCAGTGCCTACATCCCAATTCAGCTCCCCAGGGCAACGCACTCCCCTGGCCTTGCCTTTGCAGCTGGTGCAGTGCGGATCTGCCTTAAGGACTGGCCTTCACTGTTTCTGACCTCGTTATGTGGATGGGCATCTTGCTGCAATTTAACTTCGCCGGAACAACAGCGGCTTAAATCCATGTCAAATTTACATAAGTTTGTGCTTGCTGGTAGTCATTAGCACCTGCCAGCATAGGAAGATGTGCTCTCTGACTGCTCTTTAGCAAGATGTGCTCTCTGACTGTTCTTTTAGAAGCAGCATCTGAAGCAGACAAATGCCACTAACAGTACATGAGAACCTAAACTCGCTTATGCAGGTTGCTTGGATAGAGGTTTGGTTTCGTTGTAAACCACAATCAATTTTGACTTTTTTTTCCTTGCTTCCATAAAAGTTAAGATTTATCAACAATGTGTCTTGTAACATCTATAATTTGTACTTTGTAAGATCTATAAATCTCTCTGTCATGTATATTACATTTTTGTTGTCATCCTAGGAATGACGAAGACTGGAAAGAATGCCCTGATTATATCACTGCAGGAGAAAATAGCTGTTACTTCAACACATCCTACACCTCTATTTGGATACCGTATTGTGTTAAGCTTGCCAATAAAGATGAAGTATTTGATGAAAAATGTTTCAGCGTTGATGAAATAGGTATGCTTCCATTATGCATTTTACCTTTATATTTTTATATCACAATAGGGGAGATGCTACAAGCTTTTGTATTACTCATACTGCATTTAAATTTTGCCTCTCAGAAAGGTTTGTTTCTGACAAATACGATATATAGGAAGGGATTTCGGTTTGTAACATATGTAATGTGATCCACACCAGAAAATATTGCCCAGATTGGAAGAAAGCTAGAAGGATAAAAGCAAATACGTTTTTTCTCTTTCTGAATACCAGTGGTGTCTCAAACGTGTGCAGATGAGCTTGCCTTTGCTGTCACTCTGAGCCCTTTCTAATAGTGTTCAGTGTGAGCAAGGATGGCATTAAAATCTTGATTCTGCAAAGGGGTTCTGGAACCGAACAGTTTTTTGTTCCTGAATCAGCACTAATCTATGGAATCAGGATGTTTAACATTCCAGCTAGAATTTATACTGCAGCATGAATTGTGACTGTCTTGGGACTTTGCAGATGTTATTGCTTGTTCAGAGCAGTTGTATATGTATATGCAATTAAATTATTCCTGCAAGTGACTAGAATACCCACTGCTCTCTTTTCTTCAGTTGAGCAAAATCAGATTAATTTTTCAGATACCATAGTTTTTCAATGTACTTCTATATTAGTTGCTAAATATTTAATTTATGTTTCTGTATTACTCCAATTATTGTTTTTATTTCTCGTGAGAACTCTAAATTTAAATTTTGATGGAGAATTGTTCATGTCTTAGTGTTTTACAAGCTGCTATTGGGAAATGTAGTGTAATAGGTAATACATTCTTAGCCTTCTTTACTAGTCATGCAGGTGAGATTTATGCAGAGCATGTCTATGCCAACGACAGGGTGCCTTCTTGTTACCAAACTTGCAGTGTCTTTGTCATTGACTCAAAGGTTTAGATTTTAATCAACAAATATGTGGTTAATATGCTTTTTTAGTCCTGAAATCATTTAATAGTGTATAGTAAGAATGATCATTTCGCATTGAAAACTGGCTGTTTTATTCCAAATACTCTGTTTAAACAGTACTGCCTGATCCCCCTGTCCACCTTAACTGGACTCTGCTAAATACTAGTCAAACTGGGATCCATGGGGATATTCAAGTAAGATGGGATCCACCACCAACAGCAGATGTTCAGAAGGGATGGATTACTCTGGAGTATGAATTGCAGTACAAAGAAGTTAATGAGACAAAATGGAAGGAGGTATGAAGCAAATATTTATTATACAATAGTCATAGCACAGTGCAGGCTTGTTCTGTCCCTAACACTTTCATACTACTACAGAGAGCAACAGGTTATTATTATGCTAACTAGGTGATACCTTATGTCTTAAACAATATACCCATATTCTTCTGAAGTTTTCTACTAAGCATTGTAACTTCTTGTGCCAAGATAGTTGGCATGCAGGATAACAATAACAAACCCTGAAATCCCTGTGTTAGATTAGAAAGTACAGCAATAGTCAGATATATACAAGTTTTTTCAAGGATAAAATATTTCTCTATTGTTTTCCTAAACCTCAGCTATTTGAAACAGTGCATGGTATTTTTAGTAATTGGAACAGGAATATTTTGCTTGGAAAATGTCACTATGTCAGTCCAGATTCTTCAAGGTACCTGTAAAGTTCTAATACTTATCATTTCATTTAGCTTTGAATTATAATTTAAAATTTGATACAATAAGCAAATAAAAATAATGCAACATAGGTGTGACATACAGATTTCATACCAGACAACAACGGGAAATTTGTGACTATATGGATAGTCCATGAAGATATAAAATATATATACCCCAAACCTTGTAAGTTTTATTTCTGAAAATCACTTAACTTCTCTCATGTAGTCAGTTTTCCTATTGCAGGGAAGAAATTGTACCCAGCTTACCTGAATGCATAGGCTAAGTGCCAGTCTGTCATGGCATATTTGCATATGGAGAACTCTTGGAGAATACCAATCCCATGCAATAAGAACATAATTTCAGAGCAGAACCCTTCCTTTGCTTTCTTATTAATATGATCTGAGTTAACTGACAGAAGGAAAGCAGATAACACTGTTATGAATTTGTCTTAATCTACAGAAGGCAAATTTACCAACTGAAACATAGTCAAACTGGTTTGCTTGCCTTCATCTGTGAAAGACCTTGGACCCCTCCTCACCTCTGATCCTTCTCAATGTTAGCATTTTCTGTTTATCCTACTCCTTATTAGTAAGTTTACAGCCAAACAGTCATATGATGTCATTACTTTTTCCTAATACTTGTCTGAATTTTTCTCTGTATTGGTTTAAGCTATACTTACTGTACAGCCTCTATATTTTAAAGCCTATGAAATGAGTTAAGTTTAGGCAGTAAATCAATAATTCTTAGGAACTTGAAAATCTGCACAGTATTTATGGGATTTACAAAAGCAGGTGGCAATACAGATACCTCTTTACAAATGCACATTTTTTATTTTTTTATAAGCCCTTAGGTATCAATCTTATAAATACCCTAATACAGCTTTGTTCTTGCTTCAGTACCATCAATAATTCCAGCATGCCTTGAGAACAGTTCTTTTCAGGAGAGCAAAGGTTTGAAGATCAGTGTTTCTTCTTTCAGAAAACAGATAAGGAATTGCCTCAAGAAAAATAGATTATGTTGTATTGCAGCTGTATATATTGTATGTTATTGTGCCTTCCAGCTTAAAAGCACAAACGTGGCATAATTCCCTGAGAAACTATCAGAGCATAAAACAGAAATTTCTGAATAACAGCACAGGAACAACGATTTCACTCTTTGCATTCTTTGCTACAAATAACTCATGTATAATGAGCATTGAAGCAGTAAAGAGATAAACATCTAGTTATACTGTTATTACTAGTTTTTTTGCACAAAGGATAATCTTCCGACTGCTTAAATATACCATAATGTTTTGTACATATAGCTGATACAAAAAACTGATAAAAAATTAATTTTATAGTACTTAAATTTTACTAAGTCTCCCTCTTACTGAGATTTGTTTGTAACTTTTTGAGATGCTGTGGGATGAACCTGTTTGATTTTTCATGTATAGCATTCTTTTTTCCAATCCATTTACTAACTGAAAATAGACAACTTATGAATTTAAAGAGGACTAAATATTAATTAGTAAGGTATTACATCAGTAAGAGTGATAAGAGGATCAAAATTATTTTCTTTGACAAAACTTTGTAAAAACAATAAAATCCCCACCCTGATATAGTGGGTGTTCATGAGACACAGCTAAATGTAATCTGGCTCACAGTTTGAAAATACCTCATCGTTGTTATTAGGTCCTTGCTGGGATCTTTTTACAATTCTACCCTTTTATCTTGAAGTGTTGCTCATTACATTCACTAGACTGAAATTCTGTCCCCCCCTTATGTCCATCCAAATTTACCAATCGTGAGTAGCAATCACTGTGCAGACCCTGTCTGGCTGCTGTGATTATCAAACAAGGTGGACAAGCACACATCATCTGAACAGTAGTGAAGAATGATGACTTCATAGTAAAGTGTATATGAAATGCCTAAAAATGTATGTGAGATAGGGAATCTGGAAAGTCTAATTTTCCTTTAGTTACTTATCATCTTTTAGATTGGCCTGATCTTTTGACTCATGAAAAAAACAAACCCAAACAACCCAGGCCCAGATCCACCAAATATGGGATGAAATTGGTGATCACAGCTCAGTCCTCCATGAAGAGTGCTGGACCAGGGCGGACTCTGATGGCTCTCATCACCTTGTTGAATTTTTGCTGGAAAAGGTCCATTTCACACTGCAGTGAAGTGCACTTAGGGCAGGGAAGCATGGAGTACCAACTCCAGAGCTGAACGCCGTTGTCATGTCCACACAGCACTGTGGCTGAGATACACAGCTTACTAGTTTGAGGGATGTGAACCTCCTCTCTCTCTGCACCGCAGTGGATATGCAGCCTACTATCTCCAGGTGTTGTATGGGTGCCCAGCCCTGTGCTGTGCCTGCCCAGGGTACCTCTCAACCTTTCCCAGGTACTGCCCATCTCCCAGTTTTCACCATTTTTCTAGTAAAGCTGGTGAAAGCCGTTGCCTTGGTCGCTGCATTGCCTGTCCTGCCCCTGGTGCCCCCATCCCAGTCGGCACTCTCAGTGTCCCTGGGGGCTCCAGCTGTGGCAAACGGCTGCTCCACAGTTGGTGTTAGCCCCCTCTGGCAGGGCTGGACTCATGCAGGCAGGGCAATCACACCGCTCAGCGTGGCCGCAGGGCTCTCACACGGTTCCTTAGTACGGCAATCGCAATCATCGCTCTGTGTACGCTGGCTGAACAGCACGCAGCAAATCCAGCAGCCCAGCCGTCTAGTTCCAAGCTTCACATACTTTAAATGAGTTTGCTATATGCTGTCATGCATTTTTATTAGTTACCATGTCTCTTTCATACAGCTTTTAATTGACTTAATCCACATGACAAGTGCTATTCATCTACTCAGTTCATGCTGAACCTTCCCCCAGTCCACGCATCTTGCTCCATCCAGGTGTCTTACATGAAGTTTTGTTAGTTCAGTGATGGACTAGAGACATCCTGCCCTTTAATCAATTATCTGTTCTTTAGCAACTCTTGCAATTTCAGTTACACAGCTACAGTAATTTTTCAGGGCTCTAATCTAGCCTGCACACTGCTTTTTCCAAGTGCCACCATTATTTGGGGCACATGAAATTTTGGGTGATCCAGCATCCCTAAGAATCTCCACTAATTGTTTCAGAAAAAAGGAAAAAATAAAAAAAAAACCAAAACCCCAACCAACCAAAAAAATCCAAAAAACCTACCTGTAAAACTTTACTGTACTATTTCTTTGTCACTTTATAGCTCGAAATAAGTAAACGGGACTAGTATATATTGTATTCCCTTCCCAACACTTTCCAGCTGGTTAGTCTTCATGTCTTAAAAGCCTTTGTGGTGTGGAGCAGTGGTTCTCCATGATCATGTGCTGAACCACTAGCAGAGAAGAGCAGTCTGTCTGGCATCACTGCCTCCTCCAAAATCTGACTGGTTGGTTCTCAGAACACTTGAGTCTGGAGCCACCAGGGATCAGAGACCTCCGCAGATTGTAGCTACCAACAGAATGTATCTCAAGTTTAGATTACACAGCTACAGTGACTATAGGGTTGGGTTGTTGAAGCTTCCTCCAAATCCCCAATGGCTGCCATTTTCCACGTGTTTTAATGCTCAGCCTGTGATGAGTTTTGCCAGTATCCTTAATTCTGAAGTAAAAGCAGAATATAACATCTGCCACATGGATTTCCATTTTGAGCACATTTTCCTTATTTTTATATACTTTAGTTGGGCTTTTGGAGCTAAAATACAGATTCTTAGAGGAGTAATAGAAGAAGAGAGAGATTTCATGTATTAAGACCTCTAATGTGACTTCCTACATAGTTTGATATGCAGCAGTATCTGCATATGTTGCAGTTAATACTGAATATAGAAGTCTCAAGACCAACAATCTGATGCCAGCTCTCACAGAGTCTCCATTTTACATGTAGTTGAAGATTTTGGGAGCTGTGCAGTGTCCCCAAATAAATGCATTTGTAAGATGCAATACATTTGGTTAAAAGGCCTTTAAATCATTGTTATTCTTAAAATTAATTCTGTAGTGGAGATTGCACTAGCTTTTAAGACTCCCGTGTTATTTTAACAATGTTTTTGGCATTGTGAAGTCAGTAATGTTGTGTTGTAACCGTAAAAAGGATTTACAACTTGGTAAGATCAGTAGGAGATGTTCACACCACCTACTTACAGCATCTAACTGGGGGCAGCTGCCTTTCTTCACTGACTGTATTTACAGAGCTTGGATTCTCCGCTTTTGGTCCCCTGAATCACAGCAAAGCCTGATGGCTACTAAGTCGAAAGTAAATGGTGTGAATTTTCTCTGAACTCTTCTCTGGGTATCCTTACGGTTCCAAGTAGCAAAAACGCCTTCAAATGTTTATTTCTGAAATCAAGAAGCAGTGTAGAATTGCCAGTATGACTCAGACAAATCAATCACAGTCCTTCTGTCTTTACAGTTAGAACCCAGGCTCTCAACAATGGTTCCACTGTACTCTCTGAAGATGGGAAGAGATTATGAGATACGAGTCCGATCAAGACAACGTACCTCCGAAAAATTTGGGGAGTTCAGTGAAATCCTTTATGTATCTTTCTCACAAACAGGTGTTGAATTTGTTCATTGTGCTGAAGGTAAATAACTGAACTGCAGCAAAGTGTTTTTATAACCATGCTGTCTTTTTGTGTTTTCAGTGGCGGTGTTTTGTTTTTTTTTTTCTCCTTTCCTTTGATGTTGTGTGCTTGAATAGATTGATAATTCAGCCTACTACATGAAAATCATTTGGTGAGACTGAGAACGTACAAGTTCCATATACAAGTTCAGAAGTAAACTCAGCAAGACTGTTTCACAGCTCATCAGAGAGCAAAAATACCGATAGCTTTATGAATCAGAAATAATAACTGGTGTTGCACATCTTATGGAGCCTAAAATACAGTTAAATCTCATACTTCATCATCTAATATGAGCACTCCGGTTGTGAAGAGAATTGTCACTTCTATTAAAGTGTTATACTGCTGGCTACGTTTGTTACCCGAATGCTGTGCTTTTCTGATCTGCCCAATACCATCAAGGACAGTGAGTGTTTTTCTGATTCTTGCTTCTGTCTTGTACTTGTTTTTAAAGTGCTGTTAAAGACAGAAGAAGAAACAGCTGTTGAGCACCACATTTTTTTCTATTAAAAGAATGAGACAGTGCCTTTTCCTAAAGCATTCTCAAGTCTGAGCTACTAAATTAACTCTTCCAAGAATGAGCTCTTCAGCAAATTATTTTAACAAGCTGTTTCATTTCATATTCCAGGGTATTAGTGAAGATGTTACATAAAACCTTGCTAGATTCCCCTTTTTAACTCTTAGTATTACTAGTTTTCATTCCTAATTTATATGAACATCTAATGTTCTGGACATGTGGCATTATTTTATTAACCCCAGCTGTATTAAGTTGTCAAGGTTTCCATATGAACAAAATTGAAATACTATGAAAATCTAAGGCCATCCTACAAGCAGAAGTTTCTTCAGTCACTACAACCCAGATTCTGTAGGTTGATCTATATCCATGCATCTCACACAGCAGCAGTGATCTGATTTCAGAATTTATTCTTGCTTGTTTTGTATGTCACCTTTAGGAACACAGAATTAAAATTTAAGTTTTCTGTGTATTAAACATTTAAAGTAGTTAAATTCAAATGCAATATTCTAACTTTTTGAAGCAGCTGGACGTTAGCAGGTCTCCCTGACATGACAAGGAGTTACTGGTTCTCCATTAAAACAGGGACCAGTCAAACACAGAAGTATCCAGATAGGACTTTACTCATGCCTGAAAACATGTCCGGTCAAAGTCTTAAGCTGGGAGCACAAGGCTAAAACTGGTACCTGATTTTTTTTTTCTTCCACAGAAGGATATATATTTATGTTCATGTATAGAATTCTAAACCTTTCTGTCCAGTATTCCTTGGCCCAAAATATGAATGACATTTGAATGGAAAACTTAAAACTGGGGACAAATGAGAAGAATCTAAGACTACAGCCAGAATAAATTTCTCCATATTTTGTATTCTACAATGTCAGCTTAATGGAATTGACACTACTTAAAAGATAAAACATTTAATTTATCAGCATTCCTACCAAATTGCATTTCTCAATTACCTAAATTCTTTGTAGTCACCTGCAAGATAAATAAAAATGAGATTATTTGTCCTTTTCCAGTTGGTGGTTCACAACATAATTAATATTTGGCCTTTAGAAAGAAGAGTAGTATGCTTTTTGACACCACCATATTTTAGTTTCTGTGAGAGAAGAATAGTTTGCCTGTGCTTTAGTATGCTACTAATAACGTTCTCCCAGCTTGGGCAAACAAGCAGCAGCACGGTCTGCGGCATTATATGCCATCAGGACTACTTGTAGCACATTCCAAGCAGGCAGATTGTACCTCCTGGTTGGTTTTGCTACATATATTGTCTGTACTAAGATCTTGTTTACATTTAAAAACCTGGACTGGTTTTGCAAGGAGTCTCAGTGAACTCACAAGTGCAGTATGGAAACTATTGAAACAAAAAGGGTTTTTTTATTTCTGCTTAACACAGAATTTTCACATTTAAATAACAAAAAATTCTCCTATCAGTTTTTACCCCTTTTTAATCTTCAGGTGGCAGAAGGCAGGGTTGAAATTAAAGATGCAACAGAGATGCAGGTTCCTGCTAACATGTTTTCATTCTGTTGTTTCAGAAATTGAGTTTCCATGGTTCTTAGTTGTTATCTTCGGAGCATGTGGGCTGGCCGTAACAGTGATCTTAATCCTGCTGTCTAAACAACCAAGGTAGAGAGTTTTTATTTGTCAGATTTTATGTACTTGTGGCTTAAAAAATAGGGTGCTTCAATCTGTTGTCCATTCTTATAAGCTACGTGGACACTGGCATACGTACGTACTGGGTCTTCAGCAGTGGGAATCTGATTACATTCACAGCTCCTCTTCCTTTCAATTGCAGAACATTTTATTCTACAGTATTTACACAGTTAATTTACTTAGGCTTTGAAGGGGATTGGCTTTTTAGTCCATTCAAATTTTGTAAATACTCTTTTTACCCACATACCGTTCAAAAGTTTCATACAAACATACGTCTATACATTTGGTTTTGTTCTTAGACTATTCCACTAATCTCTGACTATTTCTTCATCGAATAACAAGAATAAAATAAAACAAAGCACAGGATTGTGTCATTTATAAGAATTATAAAATTGTGTCATTTCTATAAATGAAACAATGACACATATAGAAAAATGACAAAACAGTCTCAAAGTGAATTCATCCCCTAATATGTGTGTTCAGGTGTAGATTTTGGCAGAATAATAATCCAGCTTGGATGTCATACCAGTACTGTCCTAGACTACGGAGCAACACCATGGTCAAGTCCCAGAGCACGCATGCATGTTGTCAGTGGTCTTGTGTATACACTTCAAAAATGAACACTGAGGTGTTACACACATACCAGCATAAGGATAAGTCTTTGAAATGAAAACAATATGGTGCAGTTGGAGCAGCTCTAAGAAAATAAATTAGGCAAGCAGCACTATGCTTTGGCAGAGCTTAATTTCAGGAAGCCACTCCCTGCAATAGCATGCCGCTCCCAGAGTTAAGAGCAAGGCTCCTGATACAATGCACGACAAAAGCTTGATGTGTCGGTGTGGGGCAAGAACAACTTGCATGGGACCAGGAGCTCAGTAAGGGCAGCACACTGAGCAAGGAGTGGCTTGGTCACAGAAGATCCTGAGGACTGAAGCATGTCTCTGATCAGAGCTTACTAATATTTCCCGTGCTAATCATGACTGCTGGAGGAGGCTTTTCTCCGCTGAGGACCCTTCATCTGGAAAGTTTTTCTGGACCTGTGGGCCTGCACCCGTTCCTTCAAACTGGTGCATGTGGTGGTGGGATCGGCAATGTATTCTGCAGAAGAGCAGGCTGCATAGGTTTCCAGTAATGCAGAATATTCAGGCTCTGTTTCCTCCTGTATCTGAAGACACCTATTCATATTTTCCTCCATTTTGATCTTAGAAGATCGGAACCAGGCTCACTAGGACAGATGCCACAGGCTTAGGCCATCCTCTCTTAAGAGTTGAGAGATGCAGGCTTGCATTATGCTAAGAAAGTAGCAGAGTGTAGTTCTCCCCCTGAATGATTTCTCCAGGCAGCGAGTGGTAAAACCCTTTGCTGCTTTGTTAGCAGCAGCGCCCAGCCCTGTCAGAGCAGCTGATTTGTGGATGCAGCTGTAAGCACAAGCTGAAACTGGTACCCCGAGAGCCCAGCCAGTGCACAGCTAACACAGACCCTCCAGGGATTAGGTGGAAAATTACTGGATTTCTGGCTCTCATTGAGGCTTGCTGGGCAGAATTTTGAGGGTCTGCCAAGAACAAAAACAGCTGGGGAAATGGGCCCTGCCATAGTTAAGCAGAAGGTGCCTGTATTTCTCTCTTAGCACTCCTTAAGACTCCTCTGATCCTCTCTGGACCTCACCAAGGTCACTAACAATGCACCAAAACTAATATCTGGATTTGGATCTACCGCTCCCACAGTTTACTTTCTAAAATAGGCAAGTAACCCATTATAAAGAGAATGTTGAATTTTCCGTTTGGGAACTACTTTTTATCTGTTTGCAAAACAAGCAGGAAGGTAAAATGGAGGAGACAGGCATGACCTGCTATTGTTGGATTATTATTAATGGAAAATTATCCCTCTGTTTGACGTTTTCTTTTTTTTTTTTTTTAGAAGCAAGTTACTAGGCCTTTCTCTACAAGGGTAAAATCCTGTCATTATTACGTATTGTTTGTTACATTAATAATTCAGAAAACAGAAGTGCCGCAGAGGTGGCAAAATACTAGCCTAAATTTTTGCAGTTGTGTTCCTGTTTCATTTATTCATTCTAAAGTAATTCCCTCTTTTCACTGACTCCCTTTTTCTATTCCCCCATTTAAATTTATTGGGCTTATGCAAGATTACTGTGTCCCTGAAAAAAAAAATTCGGGGACAGTCACTCTGCACACTGAGGCTTGTATCAGATTCCTTTGAAAATAATGTGAAAAGGTAAACTGTTGACACAGCTCTAGGAATTTACTCTCTTTCTATAGAGCATTAAACTGTCAAAGACCAGACTCCAAAATGGATTCCCACATAAATGTATGTGATTTCAACAAGGAAGGCTGCAGAAAACTTGGGGGTTTATTCACAGTGAGAGAAAACAATCATTCTTTTCCTTAGGACTATTTAAAATTGAATCTTTAAACATTTCCATTTTGAATTAATTAAGTGTAAACACAATGTACATCTCTCTTCTTTCTAACTTCCTCAGAAAGGACCGCTGTCAATTTAAAGCCATCATTTATTTTTTCCAGGTTAAAAATGCTGATTTTTCCTCCTGTACCAGTTCCAAAGATTAAAGGGATTGACCCAGATCTCTTGAAGGTAATGTGCTCTAAAATCTACAGTGGGAATGACTGTAGTAGTAGCAGGTCACAATTGTTGTCCCGGGCAGAAAAATTTTGTAGGAAAAAAGTACGACATGGGGGGAGTTGTTACAGAATTAGTTTTCATAAGTTACTAAAAAAAAACCCCTTGCAATAATTACATCAGCTAGTTACCTTTCCTTAAGTTAACATGATAAAAAGCACAAGCATTTTTATTATTTTCTTTGTAACATTCATTTTTTCTTGCTTTATAGAAAGGAAAGCTAGATGAAGTGAACTCCATCTTAGCCAGCCATGACAACTACAAGACACAGCTATACAACGATGACTTGTGGGTTGAGTTTATTGAGTTGGACATAGAAGACCCCGATGAAAAGAACAGAGTCTCAGATACTGACAGGCTCCTGAGTGAAGACCATCTGAAATCACACAGTTGCTTGGGAGCCAAGGATGATGATTCTGGACGGGCCAGTTGTTGTGAACCAGATATTCCAGAGACAGACTTCAGTGCAAGCGACACATGTGATGCCATCTCTGATATTGATCAGTCGAAAAAGCTAACCGAAAAAGAAGAGGATCTCTTGTGCCTTGACAGAAAAGATAATGAGTCGTCACTTCCAAGCCTTGCCGACACAGACACCCAACAGCCACACACAAGTATTCGATCTGAAAATAGCCAGCCGTGGCCACCTTTTGCAGACAGCATTGGCTCAGCAAGTCCATCGGTCCATACCCAGCTAAGTAACCAGAATTCGTTGACAAATACTGACTTCTATGCGCAAGTGAGTGATATTACTCCAGCAGGCAGTGTTGTACTTTCACCAGGGCAGAAATCCAAGATGAGGAGAGCACAGTGTGAAGGCTGCACAGAACAAAACTTCACCATGGACAATGCCTACTTCTGTGAGGCAGATGTGAAAAAATGTATTGCTGTGACTTCCCACGAAGAGGGTGAGCCGCGTGTTCAGGAGCAAAGCCGTATCGAGGACGCTTACTTCACCACAGAGAGCCTTACCACTACCGGTGTCAATCTTGGAGCTTCAACAGCAGAAACCCCAAGTTCAGAGATGCCTGTCCCAGACTATACGTCTATTCATATCGTCCACTCTCCACAAGGCCTTGTGCTCAATGCAACTGCACTGCCGGTACCAGACAAGGAATTCAACACATCATGTGGCTACGTGAGCACAGACCAGCTGAACAAAATCATGCCGTAGCTCTTCTTTGACTAGGTGTGTGCAGTATTTCACAGCAGAGAGTCAGCTCAGGCTTCTATGCTGAAACCAAAATGAAGTCGAAAAGTTTCTTGTGGTTCTTATAATTTTATCTGAAATGTTGCAACGTAAAATATTCATCAAAATATTCCTATTGTGTTCTGTAAATATTATCTATGAATTTGTCTTGAGACTGTTTTACTAGCAGTGACTGTCTTGTTCTTGTGGGTGTTGATTTTTGTGAAACTAAACATTGAAATTACTATGTTTAATGTACAGTAAATCACGCATTTTGATAAAGCTAAAAATCAGGTGGTTTAAAGTCTAAGAATTTAGTAAAAAATGTGCTGTTGGCAGAGATCTTTATATCAGTAATTGGGAACTGAGTATATAGGTGAAAAAACAAAAGTATCTTGAATAAATAACACATCTATTTTGATTTATATAAATTAATAAAATATATTTTAATATTTTAGTCATAAAAACATAAACGTTTTCTATTACACTATACACTGTAGTTCAATTATGGTGACCCATCTAAGGAATGTAATTGCTGCAATCCTAAAAAGGAGTTTTCTGTTTTATAAAAGTTGTGTTCACAGCTAAAAGAAAAAATAGATTTTTACAGAGCCATTTTATACCTCCAAAGAAACCTGTAGAGAAATTTTGAAATACTGTAGAAACTTAAAGTAACTGATTCTATCACTTTCTTATGGTAACTAATATAGAAATATACATTCAGTTTAAAGTTTTGTAGAAAACTTTGAAATGTACAAAATATTTGGGCAAATTATTCTGTTCTTCATCAGATTCTGGTTAATGCTAATCATATACTTTTTTATAAGCAAAATTTTCTTGACCACAGTATTAAACAGTATGCAACTATACTTTCACTGAAAAAATGTTGAGAACACATGAATAAGCTCTGGTGACTTAGCAGCATAGTCTCTTCACATTTGACCAACTTCTGAAGCCCTCCTACAGCCAAAGGTATCACTACATTTACTAGTTTGCGCCACATAAAGTCTTGAATAAAAAAGTAAAATAAGGACTTCAGGAGTTAGCCAGCAGTTCATTTTTAAAGATACAACAGGATTAGAAGACTTCAGCGGAACAAGGAAATTGAATACAGTATTGTTCAAACGTGGTTTTTGTTTTTGCAGCCTAACAGCATCTCCTCTGACCGCGTTAGGCAGACTTTCGGAAGGAAAGGAGAGAAAACTGAAACTCAGTGGGAAAGCTCTGTTTGTTCTTATGTATATTAAGAACTTGACGGAGCTTCACAATGAAATATTATTGCTTCAGAAGTTACCTTCCTAGGCTATGGTTTCACCATAGCAGGGTTCTTCGTAGAAAGCAAATGGGGATGTTCATTTATTTTCTCTGACCTGAACAGAACTGCATGAAGTGCAGCAAATGCAGGTCTTATTCTTGATGTCTCCCACTGAGCTCACTGATGCTCTCCTTGTGACCAAGGGCTACAGGACTGGGCCCAACTATCGGGTGGGATTTTTAAGTTTAGCACGTACTTTATGGTAAATGTGCATTAGATATTCTGCTAATTTGCTGCTATATTTTTCTAACAGCTGCATTATTTAGTTTCATATAAAATTTCATAGTTGATAGACACTAATGCAAGTAATGCCTATGTGTGTGTTTGGAAGAAGTTTCTTACTCTGTTTCTATTGCCAAAAATAGTTAAATACCTCAATCAAACTCAGAATGTCATTTTGGTACTTTACTGGTCACACAAGCCATTATACGCCGGTCAGAAGATGTGTCTTTCAGTTTCTATTTAACTTTCCTTATGTCAGTGTTTTGTTTGTTTTTCTCAAAGTTCAATAAATGTATTGTCTTTGATCTGTCCTGACACAATGTGGTTTTTTGCAGATTTTTTTTTAATGGAAAATAGAGATTTTTATTAGGAGAAATGAAGTATTTCTCATTGAGTAAGGTAGAATGCAGCTTTCCTTAGAATAGAAGCAATGCCTAATGAGATCAGTGATTTCACTGATTGATATGTATGTAGTTAAAAATAGAAGCACAGACCTAAATTTATAGATGGAGATAGGACATGCTGTACCCAGAACTGGCCAAGACATGCATTACTAATTTAGCAGCCCAGTTTACCTTTGGCTGGAACAGCCTGTGGTTGCAGATAAGTAAGGGGCACTAGTTCAAGATTTACACCTACAGCTGAATCCACAAACTGGATATTCTGACAAACCTCAACAGTTACTTGTTGTGATAGTTAAAACTTAGCAGTATATGAACCCTGATACGTCAGAAATGTCAGGTAGTCTGTCTCTATGGAAAATGCCATATCTTGAACGTCTCCTAGTGTGTAACTGAGTAATGTACTACAGCCTCTCTTCTCTCTTTAGAGGTAGGGAAGGGGCTGTTGGAAGAATCCAGCTAGAGGGTAAGCCCTTTCCTCCCAAGGGAATCAGGGTGTGACTCCGTTCCTCTACACAGAGGTCCAGTGCCGTTTAAGGTATGTAACTGGGCTTCCAGTTGCTGGTCCAGAACAGCACAGGTCTTGTGTAGATTCTGTCTTACCTAAAAACCTGAGTGATGGTAGAAGCCCCCATTTTGGCAGTTGAATTGATCCCTAATGGAAGAAAACAGCTCCAGGAATGTAAACATCTTTGTGTCAGGGAGGACTAAGTTACTATTATAGTAAATAGTCTAAAGAACTACTTAGCTGACCAGATACAGGTGTCTTCTTTAGGTGAGCTGATTAGGGCTCTCCACTCTTCAGACTAGAAGGGGAGCATGGACATCTTGCTCACATTCAGACACCAAATATATTTGTTAATTAAGGTGTCTTGTTGATGTGAATTTCACCTTAGCTGAGCCGTTGCACAAGGTAAGCCAGAGAGGGGCACTGGTGTCCCCTCCTGTTTTATACCGTCTGTAGAAACAACCTTGTCTGTAGAACTCCATACAAATGAACTATCATGATGAGTAAATGTGCTTGCCTATACCTCCTGCTTGAAGAACTAAGCTTCAGAAGGCTTATGCCTTTTGTAAGTCTCTAAAAATAGCTGAGCTGCAGTGGGAGTTGGAGGATTCACAGCTGGACTTCAAGAAACGGCAGTGAAGACAGTGGTTCCCCACTGCCATGTGGGGAATTCCAGCTCCTACTGCTCCCACCTGTGCCAGTTCCAGTGCTCTCTGACGGTGCCATGAGCTGATCCAACTTCCTAAAACCTGAGAAAATCATGAAAGAAAAGTATCAGAACTCATTAATCTGTTGATTAATGAGTTAAACTGACTGAGCAAAGTCCCAGGTGAATACCAGGCAAGAAAGGCAGGACCACACAGTCAAGAGCAAAGGAGGGAGGAGCTAGAGTGATCTTCCCAGGAATATCTTCTTGGTGAAAACAGCTCCTCATGCAGACAAGAAACGGGAGGAACACACAGCTGAAGGTAGGTGTGTGTTTGCAGGAACATAGTGTAATGACCTCTTCTCATGGTAACTATCACCTACGTCAGCTTAAAGGGACTGTGAAAAGCCAGCTTGAGCTCCTTCCCACCTCCAGCAGCAGCGCAGCTCAAGTAATCACATGCCTAATGACTGCACTCTGCCTACACTTCACATGTGGGTGTTTAGAAGAGAAATCCAAGTGTCAGGCTTGAACTTTACGTTTTATACTGGCAATTTGCTGTTTTCCTACAGAACACATCGACCTATTATTTCAAGATATGATGCACTTGCCAGATACCAAACAGCTTATATTACACGGTTGCAAAGCAACCTGTTTATTTACTTTCACCATTTCTTTGAAGTGGGGGAAAATATATCTGTGCTCTACAGAAATTAGCTGTAGGTGGAGCTGTAGGAGTGGTGTGGATGACAACAACTGTAGTCAGTAGTTGTAACGAAAGGCAGATGCAGCTATGAAAATCGATGCATCTAGTAAATTGACACAAATGTTTGACAGGTTTAATTTTTTTTGCTACAGGCTTTGGCATTTCTTTTGCATAAGATGAACTTCTTCATCCTAATATATGAAATTTAGCTGGCTAAATTCCCATTTTATATGCTTCCTGAAGTTAGTCTGAGAAAGCAGAGGATCCTTCCACATCATGTTGCAAATTCCGAGAGAATGTAGCTGAATTCCTCTCTTGCAGACTGGAAGGAGTAAAAGTCTGCAAAAGACTGAGAGGGAGTAAAAGCAAAGTCGAAGGGCTGACAACGTTCTGTAGCTTCACATCACAGATGATTCAGATGGCTCTTCCACTACTGTGCTTAGTCTGCTTTTGAGCTCGTGATAAAAATCTGCTCCATAAGAGACACCTGAGGCCTTGGCATGCCAGGAAACTGATTCCTCACACTTTCTTCTTCAGTAGTAAAACTAACAGAACATGTATTTTACATATTTTTTCACTTGCATATGAAACCTTATGATATTAAACCATAAAGACATAAAAGTATAGAACCATACGGTGTCGGGTAGCTTTCTCATATGAAGTAAGACGTCAAATTTTCCAATCTATTTCACAGCAGCTATCTGTGTAGCACGTACAGTGCTACAATGTCAAGTTGCAAACAAAGGAAACACCAGCCTTGCCCTTCTGAATGGAAAACTTCTCCAGGAACTAGTTCTGTGAGCCAACGAAATGTACTTTCCTTGGATGAGTGAGGCACAAGCTTGGGAATTTAACCAAAGACAACACGATTCCTAACGAAACTGTGCTACCACATGAGTGGGTCCAACCCTCCTTCAACAGCCAACTGAGCACCAGATGCTTGCTACCCAGAGATGTTATGGTCACTGTAAGCACCCTGTACTCCATCTGTGGCCTTGCTGCGTGGGATTCCTCACGCTAAGTTTTTACCTGTGTGTTAGTATTCTTTGTCATGGCACATTTTTTGACAGAATCAGAAAGATTTGCCAGTGCCTTGAAATGCCATGAAAACTTGCAGGTGAAATTGCCTGAGCCAAACTACTGATGGAAGAATGTGTAACACTAGGCAAGGACCAGCACTAACTGCAATTAGATTTGTAAACCTACAGTATTTAAAAGCACAGAATTTTA